AAAACGCAAACAACGAGAGAGCACTGCCACAAGTCAACTCAAAAACAACTTTTATTTACTCTTCCTTAATCACAACAAAGGAAACAACAGTGTTGTCGGAAAAGTTAGAGCCAAATTTACAACACAGTAACGGGAAATAACAAAGAAGCAGCGTAAAACTATTATTCAAAAAGCCCGTCGGTTCCTGCATTGACGAAGTCAGCAAATCAAGAAAAATACCATCACTAGTCAACCGTATTAATATGCAATTCGAACAAAACTTTTTGAAGGCGCACAACCAGAAATAGCCTTACTCGTCTTCTTCACACTCATCAGACTTCTCCTGCAAAATATCAAAAGTTGCCACCCTCAAAACAGAAATTCATCTTTCTTCAAAATGTAACTTACCATCTTCCCCTCATTACAATTAATAAACTAACAGCGGTTTAAGACCCCTATTCAAAAAAAAATTTGTCAGCATCTAATGGTCATTCCTCACCCTACAATGCTATTTTTAGTAAATAAGAAAAACCTGACAAATTACCTCATCTTCATCTCCTTCAAAATCATCCATATAATCATCATCAGCAGCCGCTTCGCCAGTGAAAAACAATACTGCCCTGGGAATAATTTGGTCGCGAATTAACTGACCTATTTCGAAATCCGCTCTTAATAATTCACGATCCTCATCATATTCCTGCAGTTACGTATCATAATAATCTTAAAGAACAACAACCACAGCGTTATTTTACCTTCTGCGGCAAATGACTAAAAAAGGAAATAGGCTGCCGTCCACCTGCAATCTCCAAAAACTCTTGAAAAATTACAAAACTAATCAAAAACCCTTTTCAGATCACCCTTAAAAAACTTACATCGTCTGTTACTTCTTTCCCCTTCTCCTTCTCAGGAATGACAATAGGATCGAAAAAGTTAAAGAACGAATCATTTTTAACGGTCTTAGTAACAAATTTTCCTGCACCAGAGCCTTTCTTCTGCTTCTTTTTAATAACCTTTTTCGTTACATCCTTCCCCTCGTTCCAAGTAATTTCACTTCTGGAACGACAAATACTGTTCTTCACAGTAGGAAATATATAAATTTAAAGTCCATTTAGAACAAAAAAAAAGTAAGAAATTTTTAAAAAATAACCCTTTCGCCTCAACGACCATCGGCCCTTCGTAATCAAAAATATTGTCCTCATCCGGTGTTAGCTTTAACTTGTACCACTTTGTCAATTCGGTTTGTTTGAAATATTCGTTGGGAGTGAAGTGGAACGTCAAAGTGAATGACTGTTAAGAAAACTTTTGTAATCAAAAGAATTCTGAGAGAAGCCTCTTAGTGCAAAATGAGTCGCAAAATACTAAGACAAAAATTCGCTGTTTACAAAATAGACTTTACATCAGGATTTTCGCCAATTTGAACAGTTACGTCCACAAGATGCTTCAGAATAGGCTCATCATGTTCTTGAATCATTTCAGCAATATGATCAACACCTTTCAACAAATTTAACCAAAAATCTGGGATCCCCTTCGTAGGAGTTTCAGGTTCTGGAGCGGAAGTTTCTTCTATTTTCTATAAGAACGAGTGCAAAAATGATATAATCACCCGTAAGAGGGGGAAATTTAACATAACAAGATATTCTCAAAATAAGTTTAAAATTCATGAAGAACTAAGCTGCCTACATCGCAATACCTGATTTATCTGTCTAATAAAAAAACCATTTTCACCAAAAGACAAGTTCGAAAACACCTCGCCGACCCAGGAGGCCGACGAAATACATTTCGCATCTTCTAAAGAGAAAAAAGATCATCATGCCCCACAAAATAACGAATTTTAAAGTCATGTGAAGCTGGAGTCATCAAGACGTAACTCAAAACACAAAAAATCTGGCAAGAAATCAAAAACCAAAATAAATACCTTTGCATCCTCTTCCGTGAGGCCATTTATGATGAGACAATCTGCTTCCTCATCAGTTGGTTCATAATCACCTACTACGATTGCCCTTCTCTGAAGAAATTAAATTTTCAACACTATACTCGGTGCAACACTATACACAAAGGCTTTTATTTCTCGGTATTATAATAAATATAAAGGTAAAAAACCAAATATTTTTAGAAAAAATGTGAAACGCATTTTACTCTTTCACTTAATTCCAAACAGGACAAGACTACGCAACTAACAGCAAAATTATACACAAATTTATCAGAGTTTAAGTATGCTATAATGTTCTATAACTACACATCTGTACACGTCAAAACTTAAAATTACAAAGGATTAAAGGATACATATTATGAATTTGGAGCCATCTAAATTATCCACAACCACAAAAATGACTTTAACCGAAATGTTCGGGATCTACCATGAACAAGGAATGAAAAAGTGCTCACTTTTAGGTGCAGTTCGTCGTATTTTGGAGCAAACATAATTTCCAACTCTTGAACTTTTTTGTAAAACTCCGACTCAATCTTTATTCCTGCAAAGACAGCAACCGTGAAGGAACAAACAAAACACAAAAAAACAACTCAGCACTCTAGTTCTTCCTGCTAATCACTACGCGAAGTAGTAAAATAAGTACCTCAAGACTTCATTACTGAACTACTCCCCATCCAGCCCTCCTGCCTATTTTTTCAAAAAAACAATGCCTGTCAATAAACTTAATAAAACTATTAACACCTGTACTCTATGGCTTTTTTATCGATAGCTTCACCACTTTTGAAAATAAGTTTTACGACAAAAATAGCAGAAATGCCTTGAGAAAGTAAGAAATAAGCTGTAAAGCATACCTTCAATTTGCAGTTTTTTCAAAGCTTTCACTCGCCTTTTGATGCTTGCAGGTAGCGAAGTGATAAAAGCAAACCCGGAATCCGGGTCATACCCGTTTGTTTTCAAAAGATCAGCGAGATTTTTAGTTTCCGTCACCATGTTCAGACAATAAAGCAAAGAATTTTAAAAAACTTCTACTTCAGCACGTTGCTATATATAGAAAAAACCAACGTCCGGTCCCCAAGCCGCAACTACAGCGAAATCTACTATGAAAAAAAAGACATTAGCAACTGCCCCACTCATCAAGAAAGATAAGAACGATACAACAGATAAAGCAATATTCTCGTTAACAGTGTAACAGTTACTCCGGAAATAAAAAATGATGTTGTTAAACTACAAACCATTAAGAAGAAAGTAAAGAGCCGTCGAAAAACAACCGCTAAAAACTCAACAGAAACCCTTAAACAAAAGAAAAATTTCCCAACAAAAAGATGGAAAGAAAACAGCGGTACTTTGACGAACCACACAGCCTCAAAAACTTCCACACTATAAACAAAAAAAAAAAAAAAAAAAAAAAAAAAAAAAAA